GGTAACGGTAACGGTAAACGGAACGGAACGGAAGGAAGGACGTAACGTACGTACGTACGTACGTACGTACGTACGTACGTAGTAGAGAGAGAGAGTAGTAGTAGAGAGAGAGAGAGAGAGAGAGAGAGAGAGAGGAGTTTGAAGAGAGAGAGAGAAGAGTTTGAAATTGAAAAGCAGTTGAGTTCGGTTTTAATCAGACAAAAGTGGTAACATTTGCCAAACTATGAAGAGTCTGAAACTCTGAACAAGTGGAGGGAAAATGTTGAGTGGGAAAGGAAATACACAGTTTATTGAAATTTCTATAAGGCCTGGGCTATATGAAAACAAAATAAAGCCTCACTTCAAATCCTTGTCTGGAAAGCACTCTCCACGGAAATCTCTAGACTGGCTTGGCTCTAAATCATTTTTCAATCCTAATGATGAAATTTGAAACTAAAAAATTGGTACAAATATTATGGGTGTACGAACCCTTATTTTTAACGCGAAATGGACAACCTAGATAATTTGTTGGATCTTGCAAAAGTTTTTCAATACTTGAATTGTAATTTCCAATGAGTTATGAGGTGAAGCTTACCTTATTTTGATAGTGCTGCAGGACTATCAAACTATTTTTCTTATCAAAATACACTTACTATTTGAACTATTTAATATTTTGTTATAGGTATATTTTGATAAATTTTAAAACTTATTTTGATGTGTCATTAATGAGCCATTTGAAATTTGATAAAAATAATAACGTGTAACTTGAAATAAGATAAAAAAGTATGGACACGATTAGAAATGCGGTTTCCTAGCGACTACAGTGTCTACTGCTTTATGATGAAAAAAACATGGAAGCACAGCCCAACAAGAAAAAAGTTCCTCAAATAATTCTTTCCCACCAAACAAACATGCCCTTGGTTTAATTTTGTACTTCACTATTTTCTATCATTTCGGGTTGCATTATCGGAAGGGTGAGCTAACTTTGGTTTTTAGAAGTTTGAAATTTCAGTTTATTATAGTACTTCCTTATTTGTTAACATAAAGTATTACGAAAGGCCGGTAGGTCAAGGTGGTTAGGTATCATAATGTGACATCTTGAGTTCCATTAATGTTATATGGGGGGACTTTTTTTCTACCGAACTACCAAAAAAAAAAAAGTGTTTTGAAGAAACTGGCTCTAGTATGTTTTGGGTTCTCAAAAACCGAAGATCTGGTGCTTCCATTTCTCGATGGTGCTTATTCTCTCATTAATTGTGTCATTTCTCTCTTTGACTTCTTCCTCTCTCCAAATATATCATTTCTCTCAATAAAAATGTCCTAGCTCTCTCTCTAAATCTTCTCTCTAGGAATGCCACCCCCCCTCCTCCTTTCTTTTCTCGCTCCCTCCCTCCCCTATCTTTCTATGTGTATGAGAGAGAAATCCTGAATCCCAGACTCCAGAGGTTTTGTTAAATGATTGTGAAGCCTGATCTTCATAGTAGAGAACTTCCAATCACATTATCAAACAAATCTTCCAGAGCTTCCAAATATCAATGGTTTCAGCTTCTAAAGAACTAAAAACTTCCGGGTTCTAGGAAATCCCCAGCTTCTAGTTACCCAATGTTCCCTTATTGACTTTGTTTTATCTGTACTCCATTTTACAATTTTATATGGATTGTTTCCCTGGAATTTTTATATAAAAATCAATGGATTTGAAGAAGGTATCATTATTTCAAATAAAACGATTAACGTTGATGAACAGACAATGGGACCCGATCCATTTTGGTTGAGTGATTGACTTATGAGTGATTTACCCACAGTAGAGAGCCATGGAGTCATACTTTCCTAAAGGTGCGTTTGGTTCCCTGGGCCTCTGGGATACTTATTTCCCATGGATATCGTACACTTCCACAGTTTGGAGATTGGATTTTTATCTCCGTGAGGATACTCCACGTTTCGAAGCCAAAGCATGGAGATGTGTACGCTACCAAAATAGCTAGAATACATATCTCAATGTTTTCAGGCCAAGCGTGGGAATCCACTAAAGTAATAATAAAACTATTATTATTTTTATTATTGTTGTTGTTATTTTTAATATATATAGTAATATATTACTATTATATATATTATTATGCTATTATGATTTTTATTATTAATATATTTTATTGGGCATGTATATTATGCTCTCTCTAGAGCAGACTTCGCAAAATCGAATCGGAATAGTTAACCAGATATGGGGCCAAAAGCAGTTTAACTGGGTGTAAACCAGCCGATTCAACAGCTCTAACCGGACAAGTTCAAGGCGGTCAAAAAATTATTGAAAAAAATAAAAAAGATGTAAAAAAATCTACTAAAATATAAAAAGCATATAAATAATGATTAAAAAAAAACACATTCAATGAAGTTGAAAATTAATGAAAAAATAGATTTTAAAAGTGAGTATTAATTACCACAATAATTTTTAATATTTACTATAATGTAAAAACTATATTACAAATCAAATTCCTTATTTTTGGGATCTTATAGACATTTTTTTAAATTTTTATTTTTAAAATACCGGTGGATCACCAAAACTGCTCGAAACCGGAACCGGCAAGGGGCTGGTTCCAATCTAACCGGGTGGTTACCAGTTAGATAGGGCGGTTTTTAAAACAATGCTTGGGAGCATAGTTCACTTCTACTCCCTAGATCAAATGATCTAATTGGGAGGAATTTATTTTTTTTTCTCAATATGAGATTTTGAAAACTACATAAGGAATATGATATGATTATTCTCAAAAACGAAATTGAAATTTGAGTTTCCTAGCAGTTAGATCTCACTATCTAAAAATTACCCGAGTAAATAAATGGAGGGAATATAATATCTTTTGGCAATTCTATTATTTTATAATAATGTTATTAATACTTTGTTAATATTAATATTATTATAAATATTACAATGATATTAGTAATATTACAATACAATAATATCAATATCGTATTCATAATGTTATTATAATACAATACTATAATATTCCCATATTTATATTGATATTAGGGATTGTATACAATGAGACCATTTACCTTTTGGTACAAGGAGATCACAAATACTTACAACCATCAGATGTGAAATCTGATAGCTTGGGTGTATCACAAAGTTTGAGAAAAATTCTTTTGAAATTTGAGTTTGGTAAATGAAATAAATGCAGCCACCCAATTTCACATCCAATGGTCAAGATTAAGTTTGACCACCTTGTATCAAAGATAAATTATCTCATTATATACTTTCCCTTGATATTATTATTATAAAAATATCTATACAATAATTCCATGATACAAATAAGTCACAATCATTAATAACCATTAGAAGTGAAATCGGGTGGTTGAGGATGTGCCTTGATTAAATACAAAGTCCCAAGTAAAATTCCTCGAAAGTTGCAACAAACTTCAATATATTGAATTTCACATCTAATGGCTAAAAATGATTGCAACCTCCTTGTACCGATAATAAATAGTCTCGTAGTATATTATTCCTTATTATATTACAATATTATTAGTACAATCCAAACATTTGACATACATCTTCCAAGTCTCTTATCAAATACTATCCAAACAACATACACCCATATTCCAAGAAACACCAATTCCAGGAGAGGCATCTCGTTAAGACATGCATCTCCAGATAACTAAACAAGGCATAAATGTACATAGATTGGGGCATAAACATCGACATATGAATATATTTTAAAAAAGGGTGCAATTGGCATATTGATGCATCTGTAGCTGTAGAGGTAAGGTGAAGCTTCAAATTTTATCATGGTATATAATTTTGATGTAATATGTTCTTAGGATTATCTCAAAATCTATTTTTATATCTAATAAAATTTTAAATTTCAAAAATAGTTAAAATCAAGTAGATCTATAAACATATAAAAATATTGAAAATAGACGGTGGAGATAATATGTTGTAAAATGCACTATTTTTTAGATTTAAAAATCTTTTCATTTTTCATGGTCATACATCTTAATATCGAGATGATCAATCAAAGGGTCTTTCAATTTTAAAACCATCTTTTCCAATGAATTTTTGGGATGCATCTGTATGTATCTATAGAGATAAAGTTACAACCTTATATAAACTTTTTCCTTTAAAGACAATCAATCGATCCAATAATTATTGTGGTTTAACGGAACCATCACTCGTGTGAGGAAATCACTCTTACACATTGGAAACATGGGCCAAATTATGGACACCATTGATTTCATGGTCGATATCATTTTCACCCAAGCAATGACCTTTCCAAAACTTAGGGTTCCCAAAATCCAAGATTTCCAGCTTCTAGAGTAATTTCAGCTTGCAATTGCCAAACTCAACTTACGAGTCAATTTTATGATAAAATCAAATAATGCATTGGGCATTCTCTTCCAAAGTTTGCAAACATGGAAATGCTGAGCATGGCACATTGCAAGTAAGCAAACCTGAAGAGGGTAAGTTGCGGTAGCAATTGTAACACGTTTGACAGGGATGGCTAGAAATAAGAAAGAAGCATGAAGGTGGAGTTGTCTGGATTTCTTTCTTTGCCATGTGATGCAAGGTGATAATATGTTGTGTGTTAGGGGTTTGGACAAGTTGTACCGTATGGGGCTCTTCATGCAAGTTATAGGGTTCGACCTCAACTTGTCGTATCCCAAAAGATTTAGATCTGAACCTGACCTGTCGGGTTCAATTTTTTGATCCATACCGGGACCAGGGTCAAGTTGCTAGGTCCTAGTCTATTGCCACCCTGACCCTTAGAATGTCCTTGATGTCCTCCACATTTGACCAAATTCTCCGGGGTGGCCGTACCGCTCCATGACCCATTTAAGAGTGTTGACCGATTCTGTTATTTAAATCCATGTGGTTTGTTGACAACA